TTATGAGGAATCAAATTTATTAATGTAAAAATAAATTTAAGATATTGTTACCCTTTCAAGAGCTCTGTCAAATGCCGCGATAGCTTCATCAAAATTTTGTAACTTATTGAAGCAGAGACCAATACCAACACGTGGATCAGGTTCTGAGAGATCAGGTTTCAATCGTAAAATTTCCTGATAAAGCTTAAGAGCCTCCTTATATTCTTGACGAAGATACTTAATGCGAGCCTATCAAATATAACAGTTAATAAGAAATTGATTGTTTTAAGTGAATAACGAAGAATTAAATACCATGCCAAATAATGCAGGAATGTTGTGGTTTGCAAGACCGAATGCGTTTTTAAATGCAGAATAAGCAGCATCAGGATCGTTTCGACCAAGGTAAATGAAGCCTAGAGTTTTTTATAAATATTAAATTTAATGATAATTTTATGAATGAACTAAAAAGGCTTTTAAGTAAAAGTACCTTTTACGACCCAAGTTATTGGATTTTGAGCACTGACAGATGAAACAGTATTTAGTTGCCTAATCGCCTCATTTAGCAACTCTGATTTTTGAGATTTATTTTTTGTATTTTTTGCCAATTTATAATATAAACTGGCTAGTAAATTATTTAATCTGATCTTTTCATCGTTGGAACCACGTGCTATCATATTTCGAATCAGGAAATATAAAAATCAGTAATACAATAAATATTTAAGAGTCAGACGAGAGCGAGAACATACCTTGTGAAAGTCCTTTTTTAAGGATTGAAATAGCAATATTAGGTTCGTCTTTATACATATTGTAATGGAGCTATACAAAAAAAACCCCGTGTTTAGAAAGAAGTTTAAGAAAAAAAAAAAAAAAAAATACAAACTAACCGCAAAGCGTAAATAAACCGTCATTTGAGAATTTTCTTCTTTCAAAATATTACACATTTCTTCAGAATTAAGTGGTAATTCATCAGTTTGGAAAATGCGTTCTTGTCCAGATCTTAACGTAAGTGAGATCGGAGGGGGGGGGTGGTTTTTCTGGCTTTTGATCTGATTTTTGATCTGGTTTTTGATCTGATTTTTGATCTGACATTATGAGGTTCAGTTTAAAGAGAATCAATGAGCGAAAAGGTGTAGAAATAAGTAAATAGGTTTTTTATTTTTGGAAAGTAAAAATATTCCGTTTATCTATTTGCAGAACAATGACTCGTGATCCTCGTGATCGCTAGGGTTGGATGTGATTTCAAATCTTCACATGGCAATGAGCGCATAAATTACGTTTACTAATGATTGTTATGTGATGATTTAGCATCACATCCAGGGCTAAAACGACACATAGTAAATGCCTGCCATTCAATAAGTGTCATTCTTGATTCACATTATATTATAATTTTGATGCAGTATCAAGAAAGATACTTTAAACAATAAGCAATGACGCAGTAAATGGCTGACATTTACTATGTATCGTTTTAGCCCTGATCACATCCAGTGCTCCAACCCTAACGATAATGATACATCTCGTACTGCTTATCTGTTATGAGTAAAAAAAAACGCATACGTACTGTTGCAGAATTTAAACAAAGTTATTCAATAAATCGGGCCAATACTATGATTAAAACTATTACAAGTCTGAAATATTAAGATGCAAAACTACAAAATACCTAGTACCCGTTAGTCACTATATATAAAAATAAACAAAATAGTGCCCAGACCACACGAAGTGGCTAGAAAGTGATAAATAAATAGAGAAAAAACCAATACTATTCTAAATATATACAATCTATCCTAATTCTGTAATTTAAGAAGTGTCAAAATGCGCATCAAGGTGAAACCTATATTTTAGTAAGGGAAATACACTTCTTAACTCATCTTTTAGTAAAGCAAACACCTCTTAATCCATCATTTAGTAAGAGCAAACACACTTAGGTTAGGATCCCACTAGAAACGCTAACAATTCAAATCAATACTGCAATAAAATGGAATATGGAATATAACAAATAACACAAAATGATACAAACTACGCACCCTAGATCACTCCCTTCACATGGCCATATCGATATTTTTCCTGAGGAATAAGATTAATTAACGTTACGGTATTCGGTAAACTATGTGAATCAAAACTACGTGTAGTATCATAAATAATTGTTTTTAATTTAGTAATTAGGATACGTAGTGATCAAATTATTTTATCATATAGAATATATCAGATATACATTTTAACTGTAAAGAATGACTTGCGCGAATAGCTTTACTTTTTTAAATTATTTTAACATAAATCTACTTAATACGTTAAAAAATTTTATGCTATTAAATTTTTGCGTTAATATCAACCTAAGCCACAAGCCAAATTTTTATAAATCTCATATCTATCAACTTTACTATGATCCCTCATTAAACCATGAAATTTGATGATTAACAACATTAAACGTAACATTGTTATAGACGTGTCTAAGAATAGATTAATGCTAAAATAATTGAAAAAAAAGTAAAGCGATTCGCTCTAGACATCGCAAGTCGTTCTTTACGATTAAAATATATATCATATGGGCTGCCGTCAATAGAAATAAGGCAAATTGACATTTTAAAAAAATTTAAAATCCTAGCTTTCACAGCTCATATCTCGATGAATTTTAAAGCTATCTTAATAAATTTCTATTCAAATGAAATCTTAGATCTTAAGCTTTATTTTGAATATAAATTTATTAAAATAGCTTTAAACTTCATCGAGATATGAGCTGTGAAAGTTAAGGCTTTAAATTTTTTTAAAATGTTAATTTGCCTTATTTCTATTGACAGCAGCCCATATATATATTAATTTTTATATGGTACCACGCATAGTTTTTTGGTGTACTTGTGAAAAAAAAAAAAAAAGCATAAACGATATACGATTAAGTATATTAAGTGCGAAAATTTTTATTACTTCCATAGCACGCGAATAAGAATATATCTGATATCACGTCTAGTAAACATTATACGTAGCAATCACATGAATACTGTAGTAGCATTTCAATAGCCAATCACACCATTCCATGAATTCGTATATATATACTATTAACAGAACAGATAACTGATAAGGATAACAGTTTAACGATCAAACATTTTTAATCTAATACAACCTTTTGGTTTCTCCCTTAATTACAATTACAATTTACAATGGATTTTCAGAATAGACCAGGTTTGTTGAAAACTTGAATTGCATTTCTCCCCAACGATTTTTACTCCCAACGATTTTTTAACATTTACGATTATTGTTAGGTTCGAAGGTGGGTAGCGGTGGTGTGGCCGGTTATTCCGAAACTAACGTTGATCGACGTGAACGTCTTCGTAAACTTGCATTGGAAACAATTGACTTGAACAAAGATCCATACTTTATGAAAAATCATCTCGGATCTTATGAATGTAAACTTTGTCTGACCTTACACACTAATGAAGGTAGTTACCTCGCTCACACTCAAGGCAAAAAACATCAAACGAACCTTGCGCGACGTGCTGCTAGGGAAGCCAAGGAGAACAATAATATTCAACCAGCATTACAAGCACAAGCAAAAATTCAAGTTAAAAAAAATTTGGTCAAGATTGGAAGACCTGGATACAAAGTAACAAAAGTTCGTGATCCAATCACCAGACAACTTGGTTTATTGTTTCAAATTCAATATCCAGAAATTGGATTGGATGTTATACCTCGTCATCGATTCATGTCAGCTTACGAACAAAGAATTGAACCACCAAATAAAGCACATCAATATTTACTATTTGCTGCAGAGCCATATGAAACGATCTCGTTCAAAGTACAAAGTAAAGAAGTTGATAAGGGAGAAGGGAAATTTTTCACACATTGGGATCCAGATTCCAAACAATTTTCTTTACAGTTCTTTTTTAAGAACGATAGACCAGGGATGTATCCAGAAGGTGTTCCACCGGGCATGGAAAGAGCTCCTATTGTTAATCCTTTAAATCCTTATAGTGCTCCAGCAATGCGTGGACCAACATATGTACATAATTAGATATATAACCAGATATATAACTAGAGATGGTAAAGTTAATTTGGGTTTGTTTAAGTTCTAAAACTGTTTTGAACCAAATTTTAAAAACTAGTTCTCAATATTTTGTATGACATAAAAAATAAAAATATATTAATAAAAAGTTAATTCATATCAAACTTTAGGATATTATTATTAAACGAGTAGATTCTTAATTTTATGTCGACTATCCGCCACTTTACCTCCAAAACGGTAAAATTATTTGACACTATGTAAACACAAGTCAACTTGCAGTTTAAATAAAATAAATTTTAACATCGCCCCCCTTTACCTTATGTAGTGATTAATAAAAATATGTGTATTTTAATAATAATAAAAATTAGATAAATTTTAAGACAAAATAACTACACTTGTCTTTCGCAATATTTTTTCATTAGTACAGGTAGTAGCAATTACAAATAACTCTCGATGTAAGAAACCTTCAATATAAAAAACTTTTTATAAGAAAGATTTTTAAATTCCAATTGAAAAATTTTATAATAAGAAGCCTTCAATATAGAAAATCTTGATAAATTTAGATGAAAGATTTTGGCTAACTCGACAACTTCCTTATACCAAGAGTCAGTTGTACATTTTTTATAATGATATTCTTTAATTAAATGTAGTTAACTTTGTTTTTTATTATACCTTCGTTTAATTATTACCATATATCTTTTGCTTAATTTGTGCGTAATATATATATTTTTTCTTTTAACGTTGCATAGTATAAAAAGTCACTTATCGCTATAATAATATAAACCTTTTTCATTTTAGCAAGATCGAAATCAATGACCAACGACAAGTTCGCGGTTCTAACAATGACGACTCCAACGACGAATTCACATCTGAAAAAAAAAGAATCTGACGTGGAGATTCCATGTCATCTCGCGAGAATTAATCATATTTCGCGCGAAATAAATTTTTAATAAAGAAAATCTTAACGACCAGTGATAAAAAAAAACTATCACTAAAGCTTGTAATCTGCTAAATTTAAAATTTCGTCCTGTATAAGGTCATTTCGCGCGATGTCATATGATATGTGAAATATCCGCTAGGTTTATCGCGCGAGAGGCACATCTCTAGTTCTAACAACGATGATTCCAACACCTTGTTACATTACATTACCTCCAGCAAAAAACACATTTTCATTGGAACTTATTACAAACTTATGAACTTAGGTTCCAAAATTAGAACTTGGTTTTTACAAACTAGGTTATAAGACCAGATTTTACGGTTCTGAACCTACCATCCCTATAGGACCCGAGCTATTCATAGATAGGTCAGATCTAAGTTTGCAAAATTTTCAATGTTTCTCGAATTTCTCAAAATTTAGCACGGGATCCTACCCTATAATTTATCAAAATTTAAACCATCTTTCAGTATTTTATAATGGGCTGTCAGCATTTCATAGTAAGGAGTTTAAAACAGTTTCTTCTATTGGATACAGGATAAATAAGCAGATAAAATATATTAATTTACACAATTTAAATATACAGCTTGCTTAACAATCAGGTAATTGAAAGTATTAAATACTATTACATATTGGAAGAAATTGATTATGTTAACACAGATTTGAAAACGTTAAAAGTATTGTTAATAAACTTAATAGAAGTTTGTTTAAATGTTGTTTTTTCATGTCCCATTAGTTATGGATCATACACAAAGACTGGTTAGAGAAGGTATTTATTCGTATAGCAATTGTTACCTTTATTTTTGTATGTATAGCTCATGTGATTAAAAATAAATATACGATTATACGCATACACACTATTTATGCTTATTATGAAACAATGATTCTATTGCTTGCATAAAATCATTTTTTCCATCTCTATTCATATCTCCACTTAATATTGCTTTTATTGTTCCTTTGAATTTGTCCTCTTTAAATACATTTTCACGCAATTCCACATGCAAAAGTTCCAACAATTTTTCCTCAAACTCTTTAACACGCGGTTCCATAAATTCTATAATTCTCTCTGGAAGTTTATGAAACATCTTGTCAAACGTTTTAGAGATGAAATCTTCTTCCTTTACGGCAAATTTATTCAATAGTTGTCCAAATTTTCCTTCACGTAAATGATGTAAGTGAATTCCGCGATCCGTCACCTCTCGATCTTGATTTTTAGAAAAAAATCCAATTTTTTCATTCATCTTGCGTTTAATATGTTCAGGTAGTCGGAGACTGACTTTTTGTTTAACGTCGTCACCAAACTCTCGGACAGGAGGTTTCACAAATTCTATAAATTGGTTTACAATCCCTTCTTTTCCTTTCAATAAGAAAGATAAATCTATTTCCTTCCACCATTCCTCTTCATCCTTCTTTTCTTTCTTGCGTGTTACTTCACCCACAGCTTTCTTAGCTTCTCTTACTACTACTGTCGTTAAATCATCTGATGAATTAACTGTAATTTCATCGAGACGATCTCTTGTAACTGCTCGAATTTCATCCTTAAAATCTCCCGACACGTGTTCTGACATTGTTTTAGCAATTTGACCTATAGCTTCAAAAAAGTCATCCCCTTCATCCGCATGTTTCTTTATATGTTCCATAATATGATGGGGAAGATGTTCAACAATGGTTTCTTTGAGCCATTCCAAACAATGATCAATATGCTTTTGAAGTTTTGATTGATGTTTATCGATAACATTCTCAAGTGCGGCTTGAACTTTTTCACGCATTTTTAATTAAAATACTTTTTACAGATCTTTGAAAAAGTTTTTTTTTAAAAAAGGGGTTTAAAAAAAAATGAAATTATATCCTTTATATAAAAAAAATTTCTAATATGAACGTACGTACGTACGTACGTAACTAAATATAATATATTTTTGCCTTATAAGTTTAGCGTGAACCGTGTGAATTCTTACATGTCAATGTATGACAACAGTTTTGCGACATTGGGCATTTGGATCTACTTACTATAGCCCAAATCGTTCCCAAAGTACACTAAAAAGAATTTTCTATCATCAACGGAATTCTCCCCTTACAATGCTGATCAAAAAGAAATTTTACGCCTCTGCAATATTAACGTTAAATTAATGCCCCTAAACCCAAACATAGAAAGTCCTTTGAACTATACGATTACGGATGTCATTTTTATGTCAAAATCCGCCTCGGCCCGGTCAGAATCGACCGAATTTTTATCAAATCTCTAAGCTTGAATATGCAATAATTGCAAATTCAACCTGCAAATATTCAATAATCTTACCCAAAAAATTCTATCGCAAATTGTGTACGTACGTATAAAATTCGATACGGATTGAGTAAAGAATAGTTGCATCTTTTTATACTGAATCTATCTACCTATCTATCTATATATCTATACCAAACTCTGATTCGAATGAGTTACTTATATTAGACTACTTGCCTATTATTAGCATTACTTCATAACTTTATCAACAACTC